AGCATAAAAGCATAAACAAACAATACACGTAAGACATAGAATGTTTATCAATCAATAGACAAAAGTGTAAACAGATAAATTCGACCACGATCAGTTTGGGAATACATGCACTCATACGCGGATTTAAACAACCACACAACTCATAAACCACTTGCGAAAGTCAAGAGAACAAAATCTTAAAACATTTCCATTAAATAAAAAATACATCTCAATAAATCCAACATACGCTATAATAAATGTTGCAATAACATAGGACAATTTTCGGTTGTACTTTTACACGGGGTGTTAGACCGCCGTGCGTGCACGGCGTGACCAAATCTAGTATATAAATATATAATTATGATTGTACGTTATGATAAGTGAGCCACCTCACCCTAAGAATTCCACATTTGCGTTAAGTTAAGATAAGTATGTTTGAAATGCAACTTAGAAAAGGTTCAATTAGTCAATACAACTTTATGCCACTTTATACAATTGTTATAATTTAATAACAACGTGAGAATTACGTTAACAATTTGGTCCAACATAAATTGAAAAATCAATCCTTCATAAATTTTCTTCGTAGTTGACTAGATTTCAAATTGCGTACCAATAGTGAATGATTAACCGACTGAGAAAAGAAGGAAAAAATTACAATTTTAGTCATATTGGTTTAATTGAGTGGCGTTTTTAGTCCTATGATCTAAACAATTTGTTATTTGGTCCTATGATTTAAAAGTTCAACGCAATTTCAGTCCATTGAGACGTAAAATTGCAACAAATTTTTAAATTATATGACTTAAATTGCTAATAAAAAAATATTTGGAATGTATTTTTTATTACCAACTTTAAGTCTTTTAATTTTAAAATTTGTTGCAATTTCAGGCCTCAAATGACTGAAATTGCATCAAAATACTAAATTACAAGATCAAAAAATAAAGAGTTAAAATTTTGAGACTAAAAATGTTATGACGTTAAACCAATCAGACTAAAAATACAATTTTCACTATGGCTTTCTTTTTAGCCAGCCACGGTATCCAGAGCTATACTCCGATTAATCCGTTGGTCGACCCGGGTCGCATACCTGGCAGTGGTGGGTGAGTCTCCCAACAAGAATTTTATGCATACACAAGGACTCGAACCCGAGACCTTGCTTAAGCGACATCAAACTGCTTACTTAGTCAACCCACTGTTGGTATTTTCACTATGACTTTGAGTGTTAGGACTATGAGTGTATTGACTAAAAAAATTCATATGGATATTAAATTTTGTTTGACATTTGCAACTCATTATTTTTCGATTTTTTCCAAAAAGTGTCTGTAAGTGGGCCCACGGGCTAAAGTCGATGTTGGACCATACCTAAAATAACTCCAAATTCAAAGGCATGAGAGCATTGAGGTGCTCATATTCTCAGTCTGCAATCTCTGCTTTTAAAAATAGCCCCCCTTCACTGCTGAACACAAGACAGTGTTTGGCTTCATCTCTGGTTAATTGTTATCCCGCTCGATTTACTTTACTCTTGTGCGTTGCATGATCGTCCATTTCACCCCGCGCCAAACACGACCTTACCTTCATTTGCTATTTACTCTGCATTTTTTAACGTGAATATATATTGGCCCTAGTGTTTCTCTCCCGCTCCCCAATGGAAGCTACCGGAGTCCTCAAATTCCGGCGATATGCAGACGGCGACGTCTCCGACGGAGAAACAGACGGCGAGGATTCGTTTTTCGAATTGGTTTTCAGATCGCCCGACCGGGTAGCCGATGATGCACGTGTTGAGGACGCTGCGGAGAAGGATTTGCGGTTCGTTCGATCTCCGAGAGGTGTTTTGCAGAGTGAAAACGGCGCCTCGACCTCGAAGGCGGCGTCGCCGGTCACTCTCCTCCGGTCGACGCCCAAGTTCAAGGTCTTCTCCTTCAGTTTCAGAAAACCGACCAAGGGCGAGAAAACTCAGTTCGCCGCCGATTCCAGCTCGAAAATTGACGGGAGCGACCGTCTCACGGTTGCGGCGGCCGGAGACAACAGCCTGAGGAGCCAATTGCTGAGAGAAGCGTCGGAAATCGAAGCTTCGCCGGTTAAAATACCGTCGACGGCCAAGTACCTGAGGTTGATTAAACCTCTGTACCAAAAGGTGTGGAAGAGGCAGAACGAGAAGGTTAAGTCGTCGGATTCATTGACGCAGTCATCTCCACCAGCGCCGGCGAAATCTGAGAGCAGCCGGACGGGAAGCTTTAAGATCGTGTCCAAGCGTCAACGGAAAAGCCGATCGGCGTCGCTGCCGCCGTCCGGCAGGAGGGACGATCCGCAGAATGATGGAATTCAAGGTGCAGTTCTTTATTGCAAAAAATCATACAACTCGTCGTCGTCCAGAGGTGGGTTAGGATCCTTTATTGTCTATGTTAAACCATTAAGCATAAGATGATGAATTCAGAATAAAATTAAAACTGATATTATTTATTCTTTGTTCTTTTATGTCTCCTTTGATATTTTGTACTATGCTAAAGTTCCGTCAGGATTTGTAACCGTTAGATCATCATGTAACCGTCAGAAATAGTTGATCTAACGGTTACAAATCTCGACGGAATGATTTCGTAATGAGGCCGTATCATCTTCCTTTCGCTTAAATTTCACTTTATTTTTATTTTTTTTGTATGAAATTCAGAAATTTCGCATCTATTTCGAACTTCAAGTGATCCTTGGGAAGAAAAAATGGTAAAGGTGGGGAGGCATTCATGTGAAGGCCCTATTATCAGATGCAGCATTTAACCATGTAAAATGGCGCCACAATTTACAGTGATAATGGCCATACGATTTTGCAGAAGAATTATCCTTTGCAGTAAATAAAAGACCAGTTTTTCGCTCCGCTATATAAAGGCGAATATTTTTTTGAATTTGATTTTTGGA